CCCCGGAGAGAAGCTGCCGGTTCCCTTGGAGCTCCGGACAGAGATAGCCTTAACGTGAAGTTACAGCCAGAACTTCCTGGAGGGTGTTTTCCTCAACCTGATTGTCACAAAAATATTATTGGCAGCCTGTTTTAATAACCACGGTGTCGGGAATCGAGGCTTTGTCGTGTTCCTCGGGAATTTGGGCAAAGGCGAGGCGGGATGCGAGCGGTGCTTGTGGTCTGGCTGCTGCGGGGGACGAGGGCAGAGGCAGCACCTCGGCTGCGCGGGGTGGCCGGGGACAGCGGCGAACTTCATGGGGCAGCGAGAGACCCGGACGGGGATTTGCACTGAGCCTTCTGTCCAGGATGTGTTAAAATAAATAATACACAATGGCTCAACCCTAAAGATCGCCAGGCATTTGATTTGAGGCTTGTCAACAGCTATGCTCGGCTGAGAATCAGCTGATTATTTACATTGTCACTAATTCATCAGGCAGTGATGTAACGTGTCAGCTCTGTGTGTATCTCTGATATACACGTCAGACGGTTATGTATATGTTTAACACGTATACGAGAGAATTTTGCATGAATCCTCCTCTGCTCTAAAATGCCCATTTAAAAACGCTCTGTTAAATTCTTGTCTCGTGAATTGTGGAGAGTGTTGGCCGGTGAAGGTGGCATTAGAGAACCTGTTAAATTGCCGTCCTGGTCTATTGACCTGTCCCCGTCTGGACAGAGCCCAAAGGGTTCATGCAGCAGCCAGAGCTGTCGGGCTGTGCCGGGAGGGGAGGTGCGGGGTGGGATGCGCGGGAATGGGAACGGCACGTGGGAACCTTGCCCTGGGTCTGACACGGATCTGAGACTGCTGGGTCAGCAGGCAGTGCCTCTGCCAGCCCCCACTCTGCTTCACATATGTTTGAAGGAGCAGCGAAGGAAAACGCAGAATTGTTTCCTGCTGTCGGCTTCCAACGCAGAGCTCCTGCCCTCGGCCGGTGCGTTACACAGACCCGTTTGGGGTTTCGTGCTTAGGGACTCCCAAACTTTTAATTCTGTGGTAGCACATAGGGGAAGAGAGCGTGTTTGTCTCTCGCCGTGGTTACCGACCAGGATGTGTCCGTGATCGCAGCCTCTTGGAGCAACGGGCATCAGCAAAGTGTCCGTGAGCCCTGGGGAGGAGCGGCAGCCCTGCCAGGCAGGAGGGCACGTTTCGGAGAGCTGTAGCTCGTGAGCATCGTGGGGGGTTACTCGGAGTGGTGCAGCGTACAAATGTGTGGGTTTGGATGAAAATATTAACTGTTCGGACTCTGAGAGCTTCTTTACTATCCCCTCTTCAGGGATGGGCAGACCGAGCAGTCCCACCAAGGATTTCTACTTCTGGGCCATGCTGCGGGTTTGTAAATAAGATTATGCTGGTCCTGGTGCTGGGCAGGGAGGAGCACTGGACAGGTCACCTGTTCCAGTTAGGAGATGGATAGCTGCTGGTAGAGGGTCCCAAAGCGCGTCCTGCCTGCAAGCCAGCCGGGCCAAGGTCTGCCTGCAAGCTGTGGTCCGTTTCTAATGCCTGAGGAACGTCAACTTTGTTGCTTGCTTTTGATTAAACTACGTATTGGTCTGAGCTGTCTGCTCTGGATGATGCACTTGTGAGGGAAAGCGGTGGTATTACTGGATTCTGCAGCAGAAGTGGGTGGTGGGAGCTAAATAATGGTTTGGTTCCTTCTCACCAGAGAAGTTGCCAGATGCTGGGTTGTAGTTTCTGCTCTCTGGGCGCAGCTGCAGTCCTGGGGCACAGGGATGACGGAGCATAATGGTGGCATCCGTCCCTCCTGTAGCTCCGCACGAGCCTGGACTGAGAGAATGAGCTCCAGAATTCCCCCTCACGTGAGATTTCAAAGAAGAAGAAAGTTTGCCATTGCGAGTTTCCCCGAGGGATGTAGAAACACAACTGTTTCCCGCGGTGCTCTGCCCTGGAGACCCGGGTTTGCCGCACGGTCCCTTCCCGGGCTTGTCCGGAGGCACAAAGGGCAGCACAGCCCCCGCGGAGCCACACGGTGCGGTGTTTGCGCTCACGCTCAGGTTCACGACGGGCTGCTGCCCTCTGATAACTCATGCTTGGGGCTCGCTGGGTCGGCATTACAAGCTCTGCTTCAGGAGCATACGGCTTTTTACAGGGTATTTGTGGGAGGGGGTTTAGGTGGAGCGGATGCCCCGGCTCAAACCCGAGTGCCACCGTGGTGTTGGTAGAGGTTCCTCGAGCAGAGAGTGCCCTGGCAGCAGCTGATGCCCTCCGCAGGGAGCTCTGTGCGCCTCTGCGTGAAGCGCGCTGCAGACCCTTGTTTCCTGGTATTACCCGGGGTAGAGTCTCCGAAGTGCCTGACATGTTGTGAGATGGCAGATCCAGCCGGCAGCGTTGGGGTGGGAGCGCGGAGGGGACGGAAACCCTGCCCGGGCTCACAAACCCAAGTGCGAGGTGGGCTCTTTGGGAAATCCACCCCTGAGCGCCCGCACTGAGAACTCCAGGGGTGAGCTCTGTGCGCCCTGCATCCCCCGCCGCTCTCCCTCTTGCTTCCTTTGCCTTCCCCTTCGCCTTTTCCATTTTGTTGGATTTTAAGCTGGTATTGCGAAGTTAAAGTCGCGCTCCCTCTGTGCTGTGCTAGGCATTTTTGTGACAGAAGCACCGGGGTAATTGAGTGCCTGTGCCCTGGTTTGCTGCTTTTTTTTTTTTTTTAAATTCAGAAACTTTATTTTTGTGTCTTTCTCTATTTTTTTTTTTTGCTTTTTCTCCCAGTGTTTGGGTCAGCCCTGAGCGAGTCCTGCTGGTGTTCTCAGAGGAGAGGAGGGGGCTGGTGGGGCTGCCGCTGTGTGGGAGCCCTGAGCAGGCTCCGCTCAAAGGTGCGATCCACTGCCATGGGATGGGACCCTTCTACCCTTCTTTCATCTTTACCCCCGGGTAAAGCGCGTCGGCCGAGAGGGGATGACCCTGTGCTCTTCCTGCCCCTCAGACTCCCATCTTCTGGAGGTTTCTGTTCAAGCACGTGGCTGGTACACATGGGACACTTCTCGCCGCAAAGGAAAGTGAAGCCTTTTGTTGCTGAGAGAGCAGAGAGCGCGGTGACTTGACCATGAGCTCCTCTCAGGGAGGCAGCAACGGTCCCCAAGCCTGACTGGTGCTGCCTGCTGGAGACCGGGGCACCAGAGAGCAGCTGTGGGATAATCCATGCCGCCGCCTTCCTCCTCGTCCTCGCCTCATGTCCCCTTTGGGCTTTGGGTTTTTAATTATGAGGTTTGCAAGTCTGAATTAGCCTGATTATCATTTTTCTTCTTGATGTGAGGGACTTAGAAAATGCTCCCCGGGGTGGGGAAAAAAACATACTTAAAGTTGAAGAGAGCCTGCTGGAACAGAAACACCGAGGAGAGGGTTTATATACGCTGTGTTTGCTGGCTGTGACTACAGGATAGCATTAACCATCCGAATCCTATAGAGGAGATCGGCCTAAACCGTTCGGGGGAGCTGCAGACTTCCCTCAAGCCTTGTGATGGAGCCAGGACATGCTCTGGGTGGTCCTGAAAGAGAGTCCATTATAAGGCTCATTGCGTGCGCTGCTGAAGCACGCTCAGCTGGGGTCGTGGGGACCGGTTAGTGATGGGGAGGGCAGCGATGTCATGCCACGGTCCGGTTTCTGACATCAGGGTTGCTTTTTAAGCCCTTTGGAAGGGTGCATTGGTTTGGCATCCTCTGGACATGGGGTTTGGTCCCCCTTTGAAAGTCATTTAAGGATGCTCTCAAAGAGGTTTGTTTCTTAAGAAATCCCCCGGCCGGTTGTTCGGGGCCTCCCCGGGTGCCGAGTGGTGTCCTTCGGCTACATCTTGGGGGTCTGGCAGGGGAAACCAGCAATTTCTTGGTCCCCCCTAATGCCAGAGCCAGGGAGGGGGGCGGCGGGGCTGCGTGCCGCTGTGGGCTGCTGGTGTTCAGGGAGGGTGCGATTGTGTTATTAACATCTTATGGCTGGAGGCAGGAATTTTTGCTCATCGGGGGAAAAAGTGAGGTGATCTTTTTAATGCTTTTTAAGCCCATAATGTCATTTGCAATTAATGTTTAACTCTCGTAATGAACGTGCTCCCTAGCCGAGCACAAGCGCCGCCGTGGTGGTTTTGCTGGGGCTGCAGAAGAGAAGAGGCGTTTCTGGGATGTCTCGGGGTGTGTTTCCCCGTTTCCTCATCGCTCCCGGCTTCGGATTCACCGTCTGCTGCTGCCTCTGCCTCTCTCCCTCCTGCTGTACCCTGGGGAGTGCTGCCTCGGCTCTCCAGGCTTGATGCTGCTTCTCTCTCATTGCCGGGTTCTTTCCCCTGCCGTGACTGTGCACATCTCGCTTTTTCTCCCTTCCCTCCCCCAGAAATCCCACGCTGGCTCCCCGTTTTGCTGTCAGAGGAAGAACCGGCGGTTACGGCTTTGCAAAGCGTGGTCTGGCTGATGGGCAAGTGAGGCTGGGCTGGGCGACGGGAGAACACCGAGGTGCTGGTCCAGCCGGCTTTGTGCCACCGGGCAGGAGAATAAAGGCGACGTGTCCTTGGCCCGTTCGTTTCTCTCCCCGGCGCAACAAGCAGGATGCGGAAGGCCAAATCGCTCCGGGTTTGCGGATGAATGGGGGCCACGCAGAAGCGCAGCGACATGCCCTAGGCCGGGCCGTTCTGGACGAGCAGTCAGGGCAGGAGGGCTGGTAGCGTGGTGCCCGGCAGCCGCGGCGGCTCTCTGCTGCAGCTCCAGCCTGTGCCTCCTCGTAGCCTTCTCCTCCCTCTCTGGGCAGAGCGTGAAGCAGACGCGGGGTGCGGACAGCCCGCAGGAGCGAGCCGCAGGCGTTCTGCTTGTTGGTCGCGTGTCCGTACGAGGGACATACCTGCGTGTTGCCGGTCCTTTGCTGTGGACATATGGCCGTGCCCCGCATCCCCCAGCAGCAGACCCCAATTGCTAATTAGCAACTCATCGTAGCAAGCTGCTGGCCGTTGCAATGGGGTTCTGCCAGGGTTTGGGAGCCCAGGGGTGGGGAGGGGACGCGGCTGTGCTACTTACTCTCTGCTGTGACTTCATAGTCCCATCGTTGTGCTGGTTTCAGTGTTTCGCTGTCTGGTCCCTGTTTCCTTCCTTCCTTCCTGCCTTTCCACTTGGCAGCTCCGGTGCAGCGCGGTGCCAGCCCGGGCGCCGTTCTCCAGCGAGCTGGCTAACGCCCGGCTCCCACCGAGAGCAGCCTCCCCGCGCTGCTGCCAGGCTCGAGGCGGAACGCAGCAGCTTCACCCCCGGCAAACCCCTCCCTCGGGGTGCCCCGGCGGGGGCGCGCCTGCCTGCACGGGGAACGGCGGCAGTGCTGCATCCTGCCCCGTCGTGCTGGGGAAAAGGGATGATGCTGCCAGAACAGAGACGGCACAGGGCACGGAGGGGGAAGGACGGTGACTCCCCAGTGCTCCCTGTGAGGCAGGATGGCACCTTCAGGCAAGTCCAGAGTGACACGGTGATGTGGATGCTGCAACTCTCTCCCTGCCTGGAACTGGGATTGCCCAGCAGCTCTCTCCCTGCTCAGCCTGCTCGTGCCATACAGCCCTGCATGAGGAATGCCCTGGAGCTGCTCAAAAGCCATGATGCAGTCTCAGCTGCACCTACCCACGTCCCTTTCCATTCCCAGATCTGTCCAGTTGGCAAGGGAAGGTTCTCAGTCCTTATCCTGCCTTGAAATGTGCAGAAGAGGGGTTTGAAGGGATGGTTACTCTTCTCCACGAAACCTGGGTGGAAGATCCACCTCCTGGAGGCATCGCCCTCCACGCAGGAGGTGGCAGTGCCCTAGGCTGGCTACGGCTGTGACGTGGAGGCACGGGGGTGTGGGGTGTGTAGCATCTCCCTTGCCTTGTGAGAAGAGCATGGGCTGGAGCTGCGTTAGTTGGAGTTACAGCCTGTGGGTGCATCTCCTGCTAATGCCTACACCACCCACTGACCTGGGGCTGAAAACGGGAGGCAGGGCTGTGGTGTGGATACTGCTCTCAGGGTGGTAATTCTGTCCTGTCTTTTCTGTTTCCCTGTCTCAGGTTGGCTCAGTCCTTGTTTGCACTCTTCGCCTCGTCACTGGCAATCTCCTTGGTCTTTGCCATCATCCCTCTGTGCCACAATGTGGTGGTCCTGGCTGTGGTCATGGCTGTGGCAGGACTGGCCATGGGTTGCATCGACACCATCTCCAACATGCAGCTGGTGAAGATCTACCAGAAGGACTCTGCCATCTTCTTGCAGGTGGGCATGGAGCCCGCGTCTCCATGGCTGGGCTTCCTCCTCTGAGGAAGAGGAGCGAGGGGCTCGGCCCGCCTTTTTTAGAGGTAAACCCGCCCGCTCTACTTGTGTGTGTCATCTCTTGCAGGCCCTTCATTTCTTCGTGGGCTTTGGAGCGCTGCTAAGTCCACTGATAGCTGACCCCTTCCTCTCGGACACCAACTGCATCCTCTCGAACTCCACAGCCAATGCCTCCAGCAACCTCCCTCACATCCGCAAGTCCCTGGTCCCGCACCATCCGGGCAACCTGTCTCATTACGACCTGCCGATGAAAGGCATGGTGGTCACACGCGTCTCCTATGCCTTCTGGATCATGGCCCTCATCAATGTAAGTGCTGTAGCCGGAGTGGCCCAAGCTGTCGCTGGGGACATCCCTGCTTCATGGCTTTGCAGGCGGTTGTGGTGCTTGGGGGGGGGTGTGTTGGTGCCCGTTGGGTAGTCCCAGCGATGGAAGGAGGCATGAGGATGGTTGTGCTGGTCCACAGCAAAGGTTCATTTTTTGCCAAGTGCCCGGTTTCCAGCAGATGCCTGGGGCGGGAGGGCAGGTCACTGATCACTGCACCATCGGATGGGAGAGGGTCCATGTACCGTCCTGTGGGGATTTGTCGGATCTCTTTGGAAGCAGGTTGTACCTCCAGCAGCCCCCTGGGCAGGAGTTATACCAGCTAACTGCACTCGGAGCCACAAGGTCTTCCTCCGTGGTCACTCTGGGGACGGAGGTGTTGGGGGGAGGGCGATTTGCAGTGATATTCATAGGAAAGTACCCACGGATGAACGGAGTTACTGGGGCCGAAAGCTTGGTTGTGGTGTCTCTGCCCACTTGTGATGTTTCCCTGGTGATTTGCAGCAGCTGTAAAA